GCAAACCTTTTTACTTTCTAGAAATTATTTACACCGGACTGTTCCCAACATTACATTGTTATTGTGTTTGCTAAAAATTTTATTGCACGTGTGATTATATTTTTAACGTTATTCCAAGAAATATTAGCAAATTGTGAAGTAGTGAAATATCGAGCAAATTAATAATGTCATTTGTGTGCATAATATTATTATAACAGTGCAACACAGGTCTCTAATATTAACATATTTATATTTTTTTCATTTGAATCTTCGTTCGGTGAAGCTAATAATTATCGAAAGAAGAGCTTTCTAGCGAAGCGTATAATTATCTGGAAAGGAAGTTGTTTAAGCATCCTGAGATGAAACGTGTCGTCTAGGAAAGACAGATAAACGTTTTAGAAACTACAAATTGGATCGATAAGGTGTATATTAAACCGTTCGAATGCCACGAGCCTTTCTTATTTCCCGATCGAAAATTGCCAAAGAGCGCAATAGCGCTCGTTATATTCCGCGTCCAAAAATGCCAAAGAGCGCGATAGCACTCGTCATATTCCGCGTCCAAAAGTGCCAAAGAGCGCGATAGCGCTCGTTATATTCAGTGTCCAAAAATGCCAAAGGGCGCCATAGCGCTCGTCATATTCCGCGTCCAAAAGTGCCAAAGGGCGCCATAGCGCTCGTCATATTCAGTGTCCAAAAATGCCAAAGGGCGCGATAGCGCTCGTCATATTCAGTGTCCAAAAATGCCAAAGGGCGCGATAGCACTTGTCATATTCGGTATCCAAAAATGCCAAAGAGCGCGATAGCGCTCGTCACATTCTGCGTCCAAAAGTGCCAAAGAGCGCGATAGCGCTCGTCATATTCCGCATCCAAAAGTGCCAAAGAGCGCGATAGCGCTCGTTATATTCCGCGTCCAAAAATGCCAAAGGGCGCGATAGCGCTCGTCATATTCGGTATCCAAAAATGCCAAAGAGCGCGATAGCGCTCGTTATATTCCGCGTCCAAAAATGCCAAAGGGCGCGATAGCGCTCGTCATATTCCGCGTCCAAAAATGCCAAAAGACGCGATAGCGCTCGTTATATTCCGCGTCCAAAAATGCCAAAGAGCGCGGTTAGGTTTTCAACTTACATGTAATAAGTATTAATATTAATTTTATCTTTTTTCACTTAAGACTCAAGGGTGACCGTAAAGTCGTGCATCGAAAAAAATCGACCCCTCTGTGATTATGGGCTTCGCAGCCTAGAGCGCTGGCGCTTTTAGGACAGGATAGAGGAAGCGCGATCGCAGTTAAACCGTTTGAGTCCCACGCGCCGCTTTCGCGCTCTTCAGATTTCATGTCGAAGAAACCCAGCGCGTTTGAACGATACGGACAACTGACGGCGCACTCACAATCTGACGAAACGCGCTCAACTTTTCAGACGCGTGTACGCCGCTTCGCTACTTTTTTGGTATATAAGTAATCCAAGTAATACATTTTGTATTTCGTTGTTACCGATTATAAAAGAAGCGCTGTCGCGCTGCTTAGCATTTTTCGACACGGAATAAAAGGAGCGCTGTCGCGCCGCTTCGATCTTTTCGCAACCCATTCAGAAAGCGCTATTGCTCTGGAGAAAAAACTCTGGTACTGAAACGGTTGAAAGTGTGCAAGTTCATCAACCTGCACTACAAATCATACACGTACCGCTTCGACGTATTCATGTAATAGATAACACTGTCCAGCAAATTTTGACCTTCAGAAAAATCTGCAATATCCATTGGGCGATCCTTGTAGAGTTTCTCGTCCCAAACACGAATCCGGAAGCAGAATTACCCTATCACCCTCAGTTTTTGAGAAATATGGATTTCTGTAAAAACACACGATTTTGGACAAAAGTGAGGTATCGGGTGTAAACTCTAAACGCTGAGAAGTTCCATTTAGTCTTAAAAGATAGAGGAGAGTGTCCTGAATATATTAATGTATACGGTTATTAAATTTTGCAGTTCTGGATGGTTGTAAATGGATATTGCAGATTTTTCTGAAGGTCAAAATTTACTGGACAGTGTAATCACTCTTCGATCATTCGTACCAAGTACGCCACGAAAAATAGCCCACCTGATTATCCTCTGTAGCCATGCTGGTACGAGAAAATTTTCACACCTAATTTAAGTGATCTCAAAAGGTGAATAAGGTGCAAAACGAAAATTTTTTACAAATGCCACGTTGTTCCGTTTGGTTACGCAAATGTGTGTAGAGGAAGTGTGGGTAGCCCCGGGCAGAGGGTAACCGCGGACAGTTGAATATTTCGATTACTGAACCACGTAAAAAAATAAACGACACATTGCCAGGCGTTTTCCTAGCGTGAAACACATTTTTCAGTTAATTGTAGATCGATTGGGCAAGCGATACCGATATCAAACTTAATTTCCGGCATTTCCGTTCCAGTGCATTCTTTTATGTTTTGGCAATCAACTCCTCGCACTCGGAGGTCTTTTAGCTAGAGGAAAGATTGCAAATTGGATCTACTTTGAAATTTTTTAAAAGTAACGTAGAAATTAATTAGACTATTTCGTTTCAATATTCGGTGTATTTTCTATTTCACCGTGGTGAACAAATTTGTGGAGGTCCATAGATCTGCTCTCTGTCTTGTTTCATTAATTACCAAGTGACAATTGTTTAGTGTCGCTTCTCAGTCGCCACTCGATTGCAAAGGGTTAAATGTAGTTTGAGATTCTTGAGTGTTTTAGTTTTTTCTTTCTTTGGTATTGTAAAAATGGTTGATAAAAGCATTGGATCACGTCACGGTCACTTTTGTCCATTGCAAATTCGAAGATCGTACATTTTCCTGTTGCAATAGTTCGTCCGCTTATATTTCTCCAAGAGTATAGTATGAATAGGTTTACTTTAGAAACGGGCAAAAAGTGCGGAAATTTAAAGGACGAATAAGCAATAATGATAAATGGGATGAAAGTAACACGAAAGACGCAATTGTTTACGTTATTGTTATGCAATTGTTTACGAATTATCAATAAGATCAGCTGGTGAAAAATATAAGGGTGCCGCGTTGTTCTGTACAAGATAAAAAGCGGTCAAGAACTAACTCTTAAGCCAAAATTAGGCCAAAATTAAGCCAACTTTTAACGAGGAATTTTCATCGCAGCTTTGCAATCACGCGAAACAATTGGACAATTGCCTAATGCCATTTTGACTAGAACAGAGTTTTCAAAGGTAGCTTTTGATCTGGCTTAATATTCCTCATAGATCCGACAAAGAAAACGGAATAACGTCGAGACACTAGTTTTGTGAAGTAACTTTCCAGAATGAGAAGTACAGAATACCTAAATAACATAATAATAAATGATATAATATTATTCGCAACGTTTATAAGAATATTTAACAGTAAAATGAATAAAATAAATAAAAAAATTACTAAAACTGACGGCCAAAATTCACCGATCCTTTCCTCAAAGTCATACAAGAGATATACTCAAATTTTAGAATTATAGTAAAAGAAGAAGGTCTGAAGTTCATTTTTTCAAAGCTTAGTTTGACTAAATACCTTTTGTTAGTATATCTTATTATTTCATTTAAATGCCCGGAGCTACCCACTCTTCCCCTATTGTTTTCTTGCGGTGAAAATAATCGAATTATTATTTCTTCCATCGGAAAAATTTCTTTCTCCACCTTGTTTACCTTTCGAAATCGTTTAAATCACGTATAAAAAATTTCCCCAACCGTCGTGGCTAGAGAAACTAATAATTGGATGTTCTGTTTCACTTGCCCTATCCTCTGTATCGGCTA